GTTAGGAAACAAAACTTCCAGAACATGGCCACACAGCCCGGAAGACCCACACCAGCCATAGTATCACAGTACCTTTTAAAGCAATTACAATATTAAAGCAATTAAAAGCAAACTACTGAAACTATAAGAATCTGGGTAAACAAGTAGATTTTGATCCACCTGAACCATGGGAAGGAGGGGGCTGACTCCATGGGCTTCATCTCAAGACCGGAAGGAGTACTACTACCCTTTTGAAAATGAAAGTAGCAAGTGCTCCCGTAAGCCCAAGCAGAGTTGTAGTCAGATGTGTCTGGATTAAGAGGCAAAGAAGTTGTTTTTATAAGGGCCAAACATACTCACTTTTATCTTTTTTCATCAGACATAGTATCTCCCTTGGATAAACTAAGATATAATAACGTTAGTACAATCATTCTTATTAATCATACTAGAAAATCATACTCAGGCTAAATAGAAGCGTTACTTGCCGAGCCATTGCTCCATTAGGGACATCCCCTTTTGCTGTGTTCACTCTAATTTTGATTCACACCAAAGATCAGAAGACTCAAGTTAAATTGAAGCCTTACCAATCCTTTAGACTGAAAAGGATAACTCCCTTCTGATTCCCAAAAGAGCGTGGGGAGAGAGCACCTCTTATTCTTAACCCTTTCAGTATTCATTTATTCTGCCAGTCACCCCACTGGCTTTAATGAATTCACATGAAGTCCCCAGGAACGTCCAAAGTGTAAAATATTCACTCTCTGTTAAAGTCAGGGATATGTAGTGTTAATGACCGCAGGTCCGGTTCAGAAAGAATGTGCACCTTTGGCAGAGTGATGTCATGCCTTCAAAGGTGTCACACTGACAACTGCCATTTTTAACTGCCACAAAACAGACTTTCTGCAACATTCCAGATGGTCCCCAGAGAGTTGAATGTCCTGCAATTAGTATGGTTGGCTTAGTTAACCCACTCTGTTTGCCATGAGCTGTAGCAATTCTCTGGAACTGCAATTTATTAAGGCCATAAACTGAAATGTGGACTCTACTGTCTGCCCCAACATCTTGATACACTTTTCCATGCTCAGGAACGTGCTGGGAGCGGGGATGGAGTTTCCCAAACCCTGAAACTGCAAGTATTAAGGAGCGAACTCTTCAGAGCAGAGAGGCCAGAGGAGAAACGAGAAGGCGACTCCAAATTTAGTGCGGACACGGGTGACATCTACCGGTTCACTCTTCTTTACGAATGCAGGCGCTTACTCTTTCCCCTCCGATGGCGGCTATTTAAGGGCGAGCGGGGGGGCAACCGGGAGCGGGGGGCGCACCTCGGTTTGGCTCTGGCTTCCTGGCGGCCGGCCCCGTTCGCAGACCGCCTTCCTCCTTGCTCGGCTTATTTCCGCGCTGATGAGCAGCAAGGGTGGCGCGTCTCCTCTGGCATATGAGCAAACTGGTCATTCCAGTAAGGAGAAAGTTCAGGTCGCCGCGCTTCTCGTCTCACGCCGAGGGTTCCACCTCCATCCTCTCGTAAGAGGGTTGGCTTTTTTTCGTTGTCTTTCTTCTTTTCCTTCTTCCTAATTTTCACTTTGCCAGTTCTTGAAAGCGGACCCGCCTTGATCGACTCTTCCTCCTCTGCCCTCTCTAGCCCAGCGGGCGCTTGGACGACAGGTGCTGCGGCTCAGCAGCTGGCCCCGGGAAGGCGGCAGGTGCTTCGGACGCTGCGCCGGGATTGGCGGCTGAGCCTCTCACGGCTCCTCCGACCGCGCCATGAAAAGGGGGGGCCTGGATAACCCGGCTTTCCAGACCTCCAACCCGGATCTTGTTGACCCGCAGCTCGCCTCGGCGACCCCGAGTGTCTTGCCGTCGCCGAGTTTGGTTGGCCCGGACGAGGAACTCTGCGGGATTGGTCGGTGCGCTCCTCGCGCCCTGCAGGTCTGCAACAACGTCAAAGGGTACTTGGTCTTCTACAGCCTCCTCTCGGTCTTCCAAGGTAAGCGGGAGCAGCAAGCCCTTCCCGGGGGACGGGACCTTTCATCAGGACGTTGGGCTTGCCTTGGCGCCTTTAGCGTTCAGCCCTGCCTCCCTTCCGTCCCGCCGAAACCCAGCTACCTCCCCCATCGAACGGGAGTATTAAGAACGAAGGAGCCCCACTTCCGAGACGCTGCGCTGCTGAACTGATTCCATCGGCTTAGCGGTCATTTCTGGTGTGGCTAGATCGTCCCCCAATGTGATGCGTTCCAATCTGTGATTAGCGTTTCGGGGTGCAAGGTCAAGGTGACGAGCAATAATAAAAATACAAAAGTTAGAACAAAATTAAAATCAAGACTAAAATTAATCAAGAATTAAAAGCCTGTGGAAGAGGTTCGTCTTTACAGACATTCTTAACGTAGGGCAAAACTCATGACCAGAGATTTGCATTGATAGCCTAGGAGTGACTAAGGAGAAGCCCCCGTCCTGCGTGTCAGATAACCAGCCTCTGACTGGCGGCAGGGGTGCATCAGCCTGACAAATTTGTAAGGGGAGGGATGGCTTCTCAGGTCCTAAGCCCTTTATGGATTTAAGGATTAGCACTAACCTTAAACTGTGTCTGTTAAACAATTGTAACTAGGACAGATCTTTCAGTGCAAGGATCATGTGTTCCTTGTACTTTGCACTGCTTGGCAACTTACTGAGTATTTTTCATTAATTTTGTAACTTATGGATACTTTTCAAGGATAACTGGGTGTAGACCCCACAACAATAGTCAAAGTAGCATGGATATAAAGTAGCATGGATGTAAAAAAGGCATGGATAACTGTTGCCAAATCCACATGAATTTGGACAGTTGCAGCTTGCTGCACTAATTGTAATGGTTCAGATGCACTTTTTGCCACTACCATCAGCTGAAAATCAAAGAGGGCCCCAGACAGCAGATTTGATTTTTTGCAGGAAGTGCAATTCCATCCAACAAAAAATGAAACTTAATCCTAAATCTGCCTTCCTATTAGCCAGCCCTGACTGGATTTGACTTCAGTTTGTCCTTCCTAATCCAACTCATTAATGAATGTAGGCAACATTAAGAGTAGTACTGATTACTTCCTTGGAATTGGAAGGCAAGAGGCAGTAAAGCTGGGCATCATCAGCATACTGGGGACAGGGCACTCCTGAACTTGGTATTACCTCTCACAGCAATTGTGAGATATAGATATTGAACATTTACATGAGAAGATGAAATCCTGTGGGACACCATAAATCAATGGCCTAAACATCAAAGAGTAGTATAATAGTGGGTTGCCAGATTAATTCAGCTTTAGGAGTCTGTTAGGTAAATAGCTAGCTGCAAGTGTTTCTATTAATGACGAAAAGAACTATCTTGTCCTGGAAGACTATTAGAAAAAACTAAATAAGTCTCTGCCTCTACACATTAGGAGATAAATTGTTCCTAAATGGAAAAATCCGGTTGCTGGCATTTTTGTAACCCCATCTCTTTTCTCTCAGTAAATTTTGCTAAAGAACACTTTGTGATACTCTTCCTTGCAAATAATTACTTTCAGTTTGAGACAATTGTCAAAGAACCTGACAAGTAACCTCTCAGCACTACCCTCTGGACATGATCCAAGAGGAAAGAGGAAGGAACTACTGTAAAACATTGCCTCCAATAAAATGCCCATCTGGATCCATTTGAATTCCTACCATCTGACTAGAAGAAAGGATGTTGTGGTGCCCCCATTGCAATCACCAACATGCTGATGTGCCTCTGCTGCTGCTTTCATCTCTGCTGTTCACAGGATGGTTATTTGGGCCTTCATACAATGTTAGACCAAAAGCATTGAACCCATTTCTCACCAAGTCTGTTTCTTTGGTTATTTTCAAGCCCAGGCTAGACAGCAGTATGTCATAAATTTTTAATTTTTCCTGTACTGAACAGGGGTGGAGATTGATGGCCTCACTGCCCCAATTCTACAATTCTGTAGAAATGGAAATAGAATGAATGTGACAATCCTGCTTAATAAAAGCTCATTTCATAATTATTGAGCGCCTATTCAGTACAAGTGCATTCAGGTTAATGTGCAATGTACAATTAATTCTTGTTCAGAGATATGGGTAACAGAAAGCTCCCCACCCTCAAAAAATATCCCAAACCTCCATAGTACTAATGTACTACTTCTGAACACCGTGATCTGTCTTTTCAAACAGTTTGCAATGTGAAGTGCTCTTGAAACTGCCCAGAGTCGCTCTGCAGTGAGATGGGCAGTGACAAATTTGAAATATAAATAAATAAATAAATAAATAAATAAATAAATAAATCCTTATATATCAGAGCAAAAAAAAAAATAATCACATAGGAAGGGTGTGTGGGAAATAGGATTCTTTTAGGGCCTAGTGCTTACTGGCTTTCTCTGGTTGCTTTTTGATAAGCAGATGTGACAAAACTGGTGTGGTCGGGGGTATGTGGCAATCTCATTACAGGTATGCCATTGTCTTTTGGGAGAGAAACCTACAACCCACTTATTTTCTCAAGGGCAAAATCATTGGCAACGTTGTGCGGTGGGGGTGGGGGTGGGAGGCTCTTGGAGCGTCCCTTCATTCTCTTGCCTACTTTTAAAGTGAGATTGAGTACTTGACAATCTTCTTCACCAGGAGAGTGTGAAGCCAACGTTCACCTTCCTGGGTGGAGAATATGCTTCTGGTCTCTGGGTACTAGCTTTTGATATCAGGCATTCCTTTGCCATGAGGCAGACTGAGAGGTCTGTTTTGGAAGAAGATTTCAGATCTGAATGCATCCTTCCAATTTGGAGTTGCTGCTTACTTAGTTATGTACCACATTTTAAAAAATGGCATGAACTGCTTCATAGCCAGATTTCCCAGGGCAGCTTACAATGGCCAAAAGTTTTATTTCAATGAAAGTGGTGACTCTAATCTGTGGATCCCAGTTCCGTTATAGAAATGGAAGCAATGTCCAGTTTTCTAATGCACAGTGATTCTTGTGTCATAGCATTTTACCTCAGTGATCCTTCACAGATGTTCTGTGCTTTAGGGTGATACAAATGGGTATTAACTAATGCTCATATGTAACTCACTATTCATTTCCTTTGATAATATTAGTCTCTATTTTTATTCTGAACTCTATTGAAAATATATTATATTGCAGAATTGAATTCTGTTAAAATTGTGGCTTGATTTAATCATGCATCTTTTCTAAAATCTTATTTTTTAAAACTTTCTCCCCCATTTCATACTGTGGGTCATTCCTCAGCTTCTTTCTGCATGGCTAATATTTGTTTAATCACAATAGAACACATTTCTTCATTTTTTTTCTTAGAACTTTTACTAGTTTCTGTAATGAAAATTTGAATTGTCCACTTTAAAATAATACAACTCAGCACATAACATCATTTTGCATTTTAGTTTTTTTTTTTAAGACTAGGGCACAGTATCTTAAGATTTATCACCAAGAAAAGGCTATGTATATGATTTTGTAAGAAAAGCTTTATAAACTTCTCAACTGTTTTAAAATAGTTATTTTGATGGTAAAATCTGACTGGCACCAACAATTGGAATAGTGTGGTAGAGTTCCTTTTTTTTTTATCTGAAGAACTCCATAGAAGTAATAAAACAGCAACTCTTGTTGGTCTTCTTTGTTTTTCTAATCTCTTAAGTCCTGTGCAAATGTGTTTTTTTTTGTATCCTTGACAAGAACAGAAATCGTCATAGCAGCAAGCAGGGCTTTAATACCATATGTTTACTTGCTGTAGTATGATAAAATGTACATCATTTATTTTATATATTTATTTTACTTATCAAATTTGTCACTGCCCATCTTGTTGAAAAACAACTCTGGGTGGTTTACAAAGGAGATAAAATCAATTAAAATACAATATAAAAGCAATCTTAAAAATAATAAATAAATTCTAAGAATGATTCTGCCCATCTTGTTGAAAAACAACTCTGGGTGGTTTACAAAGGAGATAAAATCAACTGCCCATCTTGTTGAAAAACAACTCTGGGTGGTTTACAAAGGAGATAAAATCAATTAAAATACAATATAAAAGCAATCTTAAAAATAATAAATAAATTCTAAGAATGATTGAATTGGTGAATAATGAAGGAGTAACATCAGGGTGCCAGCCAACCCCAGGACTGGGTAAGATTCTTGTCACCCCACACAAGCTGGCAGAGCCAGGTCTTAAGTCCTTTCCAGAAAACCGGGAGGGTAGGGGCCTGCCGCACCTATGGGGGGAGAATATTCCAAAGGGTGGGGGCAACAGCAGAGAAGGCTCTCCTCCTGGGCCCCGCCAGCTGACATTCTCTCACTGATGGGGTCCACAGTGTGTCCTTTCTGCCTGATCAGGTGGGACAGGTTGATGTAATGGGGGTGAGACAGTCCCTCAGGTAACCTGGACCCATGCCACATAGGGCTTTAAAGGTGATAATCAACACCTTGAAGTGGACACAGAAGCAAACTGGCACCCAATTCAGCTCTCGCAATAAAAGTGTTATATGTGCCATCCTAGAGGCAACCAAGATTGTTCGCGCATTTTGAACCAGCTGTAGCTTCTGGATACTCTTCAAGGGTAGCCCCATGTAGAGCGTATTGGAATAGTCTAACTGAGAGATGATAAGGGCATGAGTGGCTGACTGGAGAACCTCCCAATCCAGGAAGGGCCGTAACTGGCACACCACACAAAGGTGGGTGAAAGCCTGCCTGGCCATGGCTGCCATCTGCTGATGACTTATGTACACTGACTCCTGTGAATGCTGTGGTCAGTTACACAATCTATATATTTTCTCAGTGTACAGATTACATGGGTGGATGGCCTATGCATGTAGGATCTCTTGTACAAAATGTATCAAGCTTTCTGTCAATGAAGTGCTAAGGAAATATAAATTACATGGGTCCAGTGTGATTAGATAGACCCATTGAAATCAAAGGGACAAATTAAATTCAACTAATTGAACTGCCATGGAGTTTGATGGGTTCCTTAATCCCTAATCTGCTTCAATTTACAAATCAGGTTTTTATTCTTGCAAGAATCTAGTTCAGCAACTTGTCAAATGGTATGAGCTATGTTGCCACATGGCATGTGAGGAAGCAATGGGTGGAGGACCTGAAAAATAAACTTTAGCTCTTAGATTCAGAAGTAGCCTTTAAAGCTGGCATCTGACCAGGCCTAGGCAACTACAGTGCTAGTTATATAACCCATCTAAATCTTCCAAGGTGATAATTTGGATTCAGGTAACCATATAGTAGTTTGAATGTTGTGATTGCCAATACCTATCATTTTGCATAAAGTTGTCGTCCAAAGACTGCTGTTGAAATGATACTGACTTGTACAAAATAGAGCTAGAACTACTTGTGAAAGGGACTTGGAGATAACTATTGTACAAGGACCTATTTGTACAATAGGTCCTTTTTAATGACAGCAAGTGATCCTTCTTTGGATGCTATAGGCTGTGGCCAGAATTAAAAAATTAGAAATAAATAAACCAATTAGATGGTGAATGTCAGATAGTGAACACTGTAGCCTTATGCACAATTATTTGGAAACACAACAGAATTTATTTCTGCATGAATTAGGTATGTTTGGACTGATGTGTAATGTTGCAAGGAGCTGGGAAAAAGGAAAACCATCCCATTTATTAACTTCTGGAAAAAAATAACTGCTGAAAAAAGTAGGGAAGGAAAATGGAATCTGTAAATATGAATGGTAGAGGTTGAGAGGTTTCTTTGATATCTGTAGTTCTGGCCATCAGGTTAAGGAGTCTAATGGTTTTCTTTAAAGGGAATTCTGGCAAGTTAGTGCACTGTATGTGTTTCCTTCTTAAAAGGACAATATTTTTATCACTGTTTGGTTAGAGTCAGAAAAGGATGATCTGAAACCTGCATTTAAAAATATGAATGGCAACTATGCCATAAAATATATTATTTAATCAGGAAACTAATAATTTGCTCTTAAATAGAATCCAAAATATGTATTCTGTAGTCCTTCTCATTTTGCTCTGATTTCTAAAATAGTTTTCATTAAAAATCACTATGAAGTCATTCAACTTATATTGTGGGATGTGCCCGTCCTGTAACTAGAAGTTCTATTCACCTAATGGAATTGCTGCCTCCTACCAATAACAATATTCAACTGTGTACTAAATTAAAGTTGCAGTTTATATGCATACTTAACTGGGAGTAAGCACTCAACACCTGTTTCATTGAACATGGTGGCGTTTGCTTCTGAGAAGATTCTTATTTTTTTTTTTTAATCAATGGAGCTAACTATGCAAGTCATAAAATGTACAAATGATGCATTATAAACTCATACCCTAGTATGCACATTTTGGTTCAAATGCTGGCCCATTCCACAACAAAATATATGTAATCTGATTAATCATACCCACTTTCAAACAAGCTCTAAAAACTTGGCTCTTTCCCCAGTCCTTGGTTTAGGGCATTTGACAGGCCACTTTTGGATGGTGATGATGTGGGGAATATGTTTTGCTTGTTCTCTTGTCATGACTATGGCCCTTTATTATAATTTTGTTTTCCTTCTGCTTTTTAATTTGTGATGTTGCTGAGAGTTGTTTTGGAGTTGGGTGGCCTACAAATTTGGCAGACAGACAGACAGACAAATAAATAAATAAATAAATAATGTCTCTTTTTCTTCTAGGGATTATTGTAAATGGATTGATAAATGTGAGCATTTCTACGATTGAGAAGCGTTATGATTTGAACAGTTCCCTCACTGGCATAATCTCTGCTGGTTATGATATTTCATTCTCTGTGTTATGCCTTTTTATATCCTTCTATGGTGAAAGAGGTCACAAACCAAGATGGCTGGCTCTCTCATCTTTCCTGATCGCATTAGGAGCATTCGTATTTTCTATGCCACATTTCACTAGTGGAAAATACATATATGGAGAAAAAGTGGAAGGTAAGTTGATATATTTGATGATCATTATTTTTTTTATTGTTTCTATATAGGCATAGTTCAAAACTATATGTCCAGGATATATTTATACAATCAATGTAAGTGTTTTTTTTTTCTCTGTTGCATACTGGGAATTAATAGCACAATCTTGGAATAGAGCTCAGGATAGCAGACCAAAGAATTAGCTTTTGCAAAGTCAGATGGAAAGCAGTGGTCCCAAATGACAAAACCATCATGTTCTTCATCAGAACAAAGAAGTTAATCTCAACTGCTATCTTTCCAAATAACTCTCTTTGCAAAAGACTGCACGGAAGAACATCTCCAGTTCAGTGTTTGATAAGCTAAATCTCTTGGGGACCTAAAACTGGCTTTTAGGATGTTATTCATTTCCTTACTTTGAATTACCATGTAAACTGCACAGTTGTCTTCAGGGAGGAATTCCATGTTCATGTGAAGACTTCTGTGTGAACTGGAACCTTCCACTATCAGAGTCCAAAGTTGTGTGTACCTAAACATTCCCTTATGCTGCAAACATGGAGAGCCAAAAGCAATAAATCTATTCAGATTACTGTCAAAAATGATCAGCCCCCTCTTTGGCAACCTACTGTGTTGAGTGGAATAAAGAACAATAGTGAGAGAAGGTGCTAGAGAAAAGAGAAGAAAGGATATTAAAGAAAAATGAGCTGTCAAAATAATGGTGATTTTACCTAGTTTTGGTTTTTGTTATGCCAATTGCTTGCTTAAACCCATCCACTACTGATGCACAGCTTCAGCAGATTATTTCTGAGATCATGTGGCCCTAATGAATGAATTACTATCAGTTGACGAGCTGCAAGGCATTTCAACTTCATTGTGAAGTCAATATTACCCAGTTCCTCTATAAACTAGATGGAGTTCTATCAGAGGAATATTCTTTTTTGCCCACTCTTGTCATTCCACATGCATGGTGCCTGCTCTAATTACAGGCTAAAATATTACAATGGATAAAGATAGTACACCCCACTTTTCCTATGAAAAAGGAACTGACAACAGGAACTCCCTTAAAAGCTTTAGATAGAAGCTGACCAAGTTACTCCAAACCATTGTTGTAAATGTGGTTTGCACAAAAGGGAAGATGATATGCTTCCTTTTTGATGAGCCAGATTCCCAAGGAATAGTAGCAGTTCTATAGAAATTGAATTTTAAATTGTTCTGTGTACTATCAGGTATGGTTCTGGTAAAGAATGCAAGGAAAAGAATGCAAGGATTAGAATGGCCACTAACAGAGGAATTGGTCAAATTTATTCCCACTGAAGACTGCACCATACATTTGTTTTCAATGCTATCTGTCAGCTGAATATGCTTTTGTCTATGACCTTTTTGTGTGTGTATGTGTGCCTTCATGTTAGTGTTGACTCCTGGTGACTGCCTGGACAAGTCCCTGCAGTTTTCCTGCTGTAAGGTTTTTTGAAAGTGGTTTGCCATTGCCTCCTTCCTAGGGCTGAGAGACAGTGACTGGCCCAAGGACACCCAGCTGGCTTTGTGCCTAAGGAGGGCCTAGAACTCACAGTCTCCAGGCTTCTAGCCTGATGCCTTAACCACTACACCAAACTGGCTCTCTATGTCTCTGACACAGCAATGGAATATTAACTGCTGACAAAATGGATTCCCCTTTACCCCTGAAGACCCCCCCCCCCATCTATCTCTCTCATCTGCTCCACTGGATCCCAAAGGAATGAGCAGGAGTCTACTTGTCTGATGCTGGAAGTAGCCCATGGAAACATTGTATGCATTTTTAAGTGATAGCACATCAAACCATTCCAACACACTGAGGAAAAAACCCCTCTGAAGCTGTTATTCTATACTCTAAATGTGTTTAAAGGAGTGAAGTGATAATAATTAGCCAGTTTTTTGAAGGAATTGTCACGTTGCATATTGCACACACAATATTAATCATTAAAGTCTCAATGAGTAAGAGAAGGTTGTTGTTGTTTTTTTCTATTTCATCAAGAGGTAGAGGTTTAAAGTTAAGAGCCGAGAGCAAAAGTAATCTTTGAGAGTTAAGAATTAACTTTAGATCAGAAGCAAAAGAATCTTTCTCTTCTTTTAAATCAAATGCTGTATTCTCTTGGAGGCAATCCACTGGAGGTTATTTAGCAGATATGGACTGCTCCAAGGCGTCAATCAATTTTGTTCCCATATATTCTTTCTCTCTTTGCAGTATCCCCCCTTTTCTCATTGTCAAGAGAAAGTGTGAGTGTGCATGCACTTTTATCAGTGATCTGATTTGGACCTTTCAGAAGGGATCTGAAATTAAGACAAAGGTCGTATGAAATTTGACTAAGGGTTGCAGAGAAGGTTAGGGCCACAGAAGGCTGATCCCTACTGATCACACAACTTGATTCTTGCTCTGCTGTGGGAAAGGAAGAGGTTGCTCACATGTGTACTAGCTTTTAAACCCTTATTAGTATGATAGTTACTCAGCTCATTTTCATTTGGGGATTTGGGTAGCATATTTTCATATTTATTTCCTTTTTATTTAGCCAAACATGCTCTAGTACTGATGAATAGTAATTTGCTAATTTATGCAACTGAAACAAACAAGTAGACGCACCAGTGAGGCCCAGCCATAAAAACAATTTTTTTCCCTTTCATATCTATTAACTATGATGATTCTCTATTCTCCCTTTTCTTTAATGAGGACTGTTCTTTGACTCACATGAGAATGCCCTACCTATGATTCTTTAATAAGTTGAATTCTAGCAGGAGTAGGTAACCTGAAGTTATAAGGCTACATCTGTCCCCTGAGCTAGTTTTTTGCAGCCTAGCGAAGCCGCTAGGAATGCAAAAAAGTCAGCATTACACTTTACTGTCATCTTGAGATGGGAAGCATATGAAGTGTACAGTATGCCCTATAATAAACTTAGCATAGTTGAGATAAAGACAACCACATAAAGCTCTTCTCCAAAACCCAGACACTCCCTGATGTCTGGCCCTGTCCAGGTGTGTAATATCTCCCATCCACTTTGCATCATTTGCTCACCCCTGTGGACCCCAATTTTCCTGATTTTACCCAATGATAACCCCCCCTCCGTATTTAGAAATGTTCCTATTTCTAGATTACTCCAAGAATTTAATACATTGCATTGTCCATCAACTTTTATGAAAACTTAATTTGAAGAAGCCAATGGAGAATTATAATTTATGCTTTTAATTAATTTGTCTTTTACTGACAAGTATGGTATGTTGCCACAGTCTGTATTCATTTCTCGTATTATAACTCCCTATAACATGTGTAAGTGAATACCAGTTTACTCACATTCCCCTCTCTTTCTAAGTAAAATATGGTATTTATGCAACATTCAACACCAGTTACTTTGCATGTCTTCTTGATTTCATCTCAGCTCCATGTAATTCATACAGTAGCATCGGTAGATGCTTTGGTTTTTTTAGAAGGATCATAAATTTGGAATCAGGTGCTATCCTTAGAGTATTTTTATGTAATTTAGATCCTTGCCATGTGCTGAAATCTAGGATCTGACAATGTCTTTGCAAAGTTATCCCCTCAAATTTGCAATGAGGGCTATCAGGCTGGGAATTACTTTTGGGACATAATTTATCATATCCATAAGCCTTTGAAACTCTTTTTGGCATGTTGGTTTTGGCTTATCTATGATTGCTTTTCTATAGTCTACTCTGGTTTAATGCCAGTTTTCATTAGTATTTCTCCCAGATGTTGTTTCTTGGTGCAGGTCTGGCTTAGGTTTTAATCTGCTTCAGTTTAGTAACTATCAGCTGTTAGACTGATTTGCACACCAGTGTCAATTTTAAAAGCAATGGGGGATTCCATTAGTCTTTATCATGGGTGATTGCTAATATCAGAGCATTATCATTGCTGTGTCCCATAACTTTCAACTGTGAATGAATGACTTCTGATGCTTGGCATATACCAGTGGTGTTTCTGAGGGACAAGTTTATCTCTCTCAATAAGCATTCTTGTACTATCTTATTTCTTATGCTCAAAACAATTAGATCTTTGATCAAAGATTCAGTCAACATACCAAAGTCACAAGACTTGCTCTTTAGTTTCAGATCTGTTACAGATTTCTCAGCTGTCTCAGTTGCCTTTTGTCAGTGTGATCTGAAGAGAAATATTTCATGTGTTTCATTTTTTGGGTGACACACAGCACCCCTCAAATCTCTGCAAGAAGGCTTTAAAGTCATTTATTTTATTATCCATGAATATAAATGTATTACACATATTGAAGGCATCAGCTCCAGCCATTGGCAGGAAGTGTGCTATTTTCTGTTGTTCTTCTTCATGGCAGCCAGTTGCTCTCAAGTAGAAGAGGATTCTTTGTGGAAAGTATGACTATTAACTTTCTGTCTTGCCAGTAAGCTTGACTTGTGGTGGTGGCCTCAGAGTATCTTTTTTTAAAACAATGAAGCTGTCAGTATTCAGCTAGCCTGGTATGCTGCAATTAGCCTTCTAGCATTGTGCTGAGTATCTGTGGTTTGAGTGCAATAACACTCACAGTTTATTCCTTTAACCATCTAGCATGAGGAGTCCTTGGGGTTTTCTGAGCTTGAATATTTTCTTGCAAACGTTTCATCACCCAGCTAGGTAATATCTTCAGTGCTAGAATGGAGTGGAGTTTGCTCTCTGTTTATGTGCAGTGGCTTGCCTTGCCTGTGTTGGTGGTTCCCCCCCTCTCATCCCTAGTTCCTTGATTAGGGTATTGTTTACTGCTGATTGTATGTCTGGTGATAATCTCGGTGTTAATCTCTGCTTGGGTGTTGATTGCTGGTGAGGAGATGTTCTGGACTTTTGTTTCCTTTCTATTGTCTCTTTTGAATAGTGTGTGGATGTTGTTTATCTCTATGTGCCTGTTGATGGCTGCCTTGTCTGAATACCAAGCTTCCAGGAATTCCCTAATGTTTTTGGATATAGTTTGGTCTAAGATGCTGACAGTTTCCCAGTTGAAACTATGGCTATGTCTGTCTAGCATGAAGTGTTCCCCCCA